ATTTTTGTACTGAGTCTGCATACACCGAGGTCGCAGTTTTATAATTCCGACAATATTTAAAAAAAGGGGGTAATTGAAAGAAAAATGAAAGGCGCCTCTCGAGGAGTTGAACCACCGTTCGAGGTGCCGCGCCGCTACCGGCTGAGCTACGGTGGCAAAAGCCCCTGAAGCCGACAGATGACAAATATGAAAGCGACACGTGTCAACGTGCTGTGTGAGAACTGTAAAATTGAAAAATTACCGATATTGCACATCATCGTGGCAGCTTCAAAGATTCCAAGTCCCACATTCTGCCCTGGCCCTCCTCCAAGCCCTGGCGACTCTAAACTATTGCTCCGTTGCGATGACACCGATTCTTTCTCCTTGTGAATTCCACCGCTTCCCACATTCAACGACATTGTAGACGGCTTTTGATCGCTTTTCTTGATCGATCGTCTCTTCTGAAACAATATTTTCAATTCAAAAAATCCAAAAAAAAAGAAAGACTCACCGAACTCTTGGTCTCCATTTCGGACATGTATTCTGATAGATTGATCGTTTTATGAACACTTTTCCTGCGTTTTAATAACTCACTTTGGTCCTTTTTCGCTGTTTCAACTTCCGCTAACTTCAATTTGCTTGTTTGCGATTCGAGATCGTCGAAAATCAGCTCGTTTTTCTTTGCCTTCGCCTCCTCTTGCTTCTTTTTAAGCTCACTGAACATTGTAGTCGTCACTGGAAAATTCAATTAAATCAGAGAATACAAAATGATATGTGATAACTGGTAAAGCAGGCAAGGAGAGGGTTTTCCATAGGAGTGAGTGACAAAAATTTGTATCCGTGGGAGGCCTCGATTTTCTCTTTTTCTTTCTTGGATTGACTCATGTGCATGGGAAAATTTAAATAGAAAGAAAAACACATGAACAGGAGTTAGTGGGAGGTGATCAGAAATCTAAAGGTTTCTAGAAAGACAGTAACTCGTTAACTACCGTAATACATAGGAGGGAATCCAGACTGTTAAGCTTGAGCTCAATTATTTCGATTCCTGTAAAAGATATGAAAATTTGTAAACTGATAAATTGTGTATTATAATATCACTTACATTTTATTAGTTAACAAAAGTTAGATATCTTTAACAGGAATCTAGATAATTGAGCTCACAATTAACGATTTGTCTGGGATTCTAATAAAGGAATATTGTATTGAAAAATCAAATTTCCATAAATCGAACCTAGACCTAAATTTGCTGATCAAAACACCCGACTCTTTTTCACAATCTTTTTCCGAGAACTGATTTTCTGGCAAATAATGACGTATTATCATTTCAGGAAAACCCAAAAATAGATAATTGTTTTTGGATTGAATTGGGGATTTTTGGATTACTGTACTTTTTGGTGTATTGGGATACTTTAGTAGAAGTGCGAATTTGAAACAGTAAAATTTTACTGTGCTAGATTCGAAACATTTCGAAATTCTGAAATTCTACTCTGAAATTTTGGAGAGTTTGAGTTGAAGAGTTTGGGATTTTGAGATTCAAAGAATTCTTGGATTAAATATTCTGAATTTCTGAATAAAAAGAACTCCGGAAAAATCCTAGAAATCAGTAAAAGGCAAAAAAAAACCTGATATTTCGAAAATTTTGATATTTGAATTTTGTAGTTTCTGAATTTCAGAAATTCAGATGATCAGATCGAATTCGCAATTTCAGAATTTCGACATTTTAGAAATTCAGAACTTCCGAATTTCTAGATTTTTGAATTTTTGGAAATTTCAGAATTTCGGATTTCCAGAATTTCAAAACATCAGAACTTCTAAATTTCTGATTTTGTGATTTTCCGAATTTTTGAATTTCGGAGCTTCAGAATCTCAGAATTCCAAAATTTTAGAACTTCAGAACTCCAGAAATTCAGAATTTCTAAATTTTTAAACTAAGGAACTTCTAATGTTCAGAATTTCCGATTTTCTCAATTTTGGAATCAATTTTGGAAAATTCTAAATTTCAGAATATATAAATTTCAGAAATTCAGAAACTCGGAATTCCGGAATTTCCAAATTTCCGATTTTCAGAATTTCCGAATTTCCGAATTCCTGAATTTCCGGGTTTTGGAGTTTCGGAACTCCAGATATTCAAGCATCATCTCTGAATTTCCGAATAGATAATTGATTATGGATTGAATTAAAAAAAATACTGTAGTTCCTGATAAATGGGGATACTGTAGGTGCGAAATTTTCGAAAGTTTTAAATTCTAAGCTTCTGAAATTTAAAAAGTTGGGGATTCTTAGACTCCCGCAATTTGAGTTTTTAAAACTTTTAATCAAATGATACTGAGAATTCAAATTTTCGAATTCTGAAATTTCAGAATGGTGAAATTTCTTAAAATCTGATATTCCAGAATTCGGAAAGACCCAAAACTTTGAGAAAACGCAAATTTCGTATTCTTTTCTCTTCTGAAAACGCCAAGATCAATAAAGGAAAAGCTAGAAATGTAGAGAGAAACTAGTCCTAAAAACTAATCAGCTTCTCTTTCTCAGGAGCCAGAATCAAGAAGTGATTGGTTTCTGAAGGTAACGAGAAGAAGGCGTGGAGCTCTCTATTTTCCGTTGGCGTGGGAGTCGTCGTTGAAGAAGAAGAAGAAGATGGAGATGGAGAAACGGAGCCATAATCAAATCGGATTTTTTATTGGCTTAGCCACGACTCGATTTCCATGGAAACTGGATATATGTATCCAATCCGTTAAAAGAAAAGGAAAAGAAAGTCGGTGAAAGGAAGGGAAAATTCTGAAAACATTTTTCTCATGGTTTTAGTATTTTTTTTCAGATTCGCAGTGCTCCAGATGTTTCCCATTTGGTCAAACTTAAATTTTTTCCGTTCTAATAAAGCTTTTTTTGCTGCAATTTCAACAATTTTTGTTTGTGTTCAATAGCGAACTGTATTTTTTATCTAGTTTCTCTGTCACATGACTTCCAACCTCGCATTTCATTGAACATGTTACTCTACTCTCTAAAACCTCCAGCGTGTGTTCGTTATAGAGTCAACAGTCTTTTTTTGCTGCGCAGCATTGCTTGATCGCAAATTCCCAATATTTCGCTCTCTCCTCCCAAATAAATATTTTTGTCCCCTCAAAAACCCTCAAAGTATACGGTAGATCTTGCGGTTCACTTTGTCGTCGAATCCGCTGTTTACACCCTGTGCCCTTTGCTCGGTCTCTTCGTTTTAGACACTATTTCGCGCTATCTCTGCCAATGACTCTTCAACAATCCCCCAAATTTCACTGATTTCAACTTGTTTTTCTTCAAGTTCCCAAAAGAAAAATATCTGAAAATCTGAAATTTTGAAAATTTCCGACACCTTTAACATGGTTTTATTAGCTTTTTCAACTTTTAAAGTTATTTTTTAGGAGAAAGTTGTGAAAATTGAAATTTTAGGACACTCGCTAGTTTCGACCAGAGTTCATCCCATCACGAGCGCTCAGATTACCTCGAGGCTTGGAAAAAATACTAGGTCATTACGTTTTTGTTGTCTGGAAAAAAGGAAATTGAACGCGTGAAGACCTCGTTTTTTTTAAAGCCAGCACACATGCAACAAAGGATTTCCTGTCGAAACCTGTTAACTTTTTGGAGCCAATTTTTAAAAAAATTCGTTCATACCTAAATAAATTCCACACTCCCAAGCTAATAGACCTTCAAAATCAAAGGCGCACGACCTTGAAAATTCATTCTGCCCCTTCTTTTTTTTTCGTTCCGACGACATCGCATCCCACACTCGATCATCTTTCTTACGATAATATTGTCTCTCCAATTTGATATATGTTAAGTTCCTATCATTCTCACCTATCTTCTTTTTGCGTCACGCTTGCAACAGTATTTTATTAGTTTTTCTCCTAAAAAGTTGTTTCTTATGACCCAATTGCTCATTATAACTTGCTCTTCAAAGATCAGAAGGGTGCGTCCTCTATTTAAATAGGGGTACTTTCTGTTGCCCGTCCATAAGTAACTCTTTTCGATATTGTAAACAAACCCCTCTTTCCATCTTTTCTGTCTCTTTTCTTCTTTTCCTTCTCATCTATTGAATTTTTCAGGTAAATTTCGATTCAAAGCCCCCCGATCCAAGCAGTTAAGCGAAAGCCGTAGTGAATCTGGCAACGTGCCACAACCCCCTGTGAAAAGTGCCTTTTGTTTGAAATGTGAGTTTTTTTTGGTTTTCCTCCTACTGTTAAAACCGTATATTTCCAGACAACGAAAGGAAAATAAGAGCAAGGAAGAACTTCCGAAACTGTCGTCCAATAAGGCAGGAAACTATTAAAGTGAGTATTTTTGACTGGGTTTCATTTTTGGACTGTAGGTATTGGACTCTCTTACCTCCGTGACGATATTGAGATGGTTCAACAGTTAGGGTACATTCAACTCCTCCGGGTCATCACAATGTCGTTACCGGATTGCTCTATTTGAATGTACTCAACTGTTCGAACCTTTCAGGTAGAAGATGCTTCCTTCTCTCACTCGATTCTTTGCACGGGCGCTTGTCCTTCACCGCTCTGCCCTCAGCTCCTCCTCTTCCTCCACACCCATCGTCCAAGAAGAAGAAGTTTCATTCGAAAGTCTGAAACCATCACGAGCATTTGAAAAAAGCTTAAAAGGAGATCTCAAGAAACAATATGAAAAAGCTCTCAAGGAATTTGAAATTTTCGTTTATATGGGAAAGATGGTTCCGAATAAAATGAGTGACGAGGCTTGGAAGCAGACGCTGGAATGCAAATCGCTGAGCGATAGAATCAGTTATTGGGAGTACATCGCACTGACAGCACGAAGAGCTCAACGGAAAGATAAATCGCAGAAATTTAACAAAGATCTATACAAGGAGAGTCTCGCCGAACAACAGAAAATCATGGACGCTGGTGGAATGGGATATGGACCAGAGATGTATCAATTGATCAGTAATCCATTGAGAAATCAGAAAAGAGTGAATAACATCGAAGGATCGAAAGTTTTTGCGAGCATGAAAAATGGCTCACCACGAATCGCGTTGGATTTGCAGTTCATTCAAGAAGCGGGTCGACGGGATAGCGGAGAACTTGGAAATCAGATGCAATATTGTATCAGTGAGAATTTCTCTTCGAAAAATCCCCTCGTTTTGGATTTTGTGAACGCTCCTTCGAAGGAATTTCTGGAGGAGTGGCTCAAAAAGAGTGTCGGTTATTACACGGGAACTTATGTGAATCAGACGATTCTTCCGGATTTTTCTACAAAAGGAATCAAGGAATTCTATGATGATTCTTCTCTCGATACAATTTATCTATCATCAAATGCACGAGATGTTCTCGATGGACCACTTACCGCTGACGTCATCGGAGTCTGTGTGACAATGGGACGAAAACGTGAGGCTTTGAGTGCGGCTCGTCGTTCAAAAATCCGTGCCTTTCGCTTACCGATTCATCGATACGTCAAATGGAAGTCGGGACCACAGTTTCTGCCGTTTCCGAACTTGCTCAACGTACTTCGTGAGGTGTACACAAGCGGTGGCGATTGGAGTCGCGCGCTACACAACAACATCAGTAGACGGCACTTGGTGGATACGAATGAAGACGAGCACAAAAAAATGCAGATGTTGAGACGACGAGTGAAAGAGGAGGAGCGTCGCGAGCTGACAGAGGCAATTATTAGTGCCACTCAGGACTAGAGAAGAAGCGGAAGACGTTTATAATTGAAACCTATTTATGGAGAGAGAGAAGGAGAGAGGGAAAAGAAGGCGTTATAAAAAAAACCGTTTAACTTTGGTTACTCTCTCTCTCTCTCTCTTTCTTTTCTTTTCTCTTATTTCGTTCTGTTTTTTTTCTAGATGACGTGGAGCACGCCCAGCTTTTCTCTTGTCTGACCAAAACAAGACGAACGGCTCTTTCTTTTTCTCTTTCTTTATCCAAAAAAATTCCTGCGTTCCTCTTTTCAATGCAAATTAGGCTCTTCTAGATAGTTATTATAGCTTTATTTGTTGTTTGTTAATTTGCTAGTTGTTATAATTTATAAAAAATCTGTTACTTTTTTGTTCCTCATGAAAACGATATCCTGTATTAATTGAATATTCATATATCAGTTGACATTTCTATATCTATATTTTTTTTTGGAAAAGGGCAAAACTATCAGGAAGATATATTTTAATTCCCCGTGCTTCTTCCCACTCATACTTCTATTCTGGAGCAGAAGGCCCCTGGTGTTGAATGGCCGCTGGCCATTAGACTGACGTCATCTGGTCATGTTGTTTGAAAAAAAGGAGAAGGGGACGGAAGAAGAAGAAGGAATGCACCACGCGCCGACGACGGCTTCTTCTCCAGAAGGAGCTCTCGATCCATGTTGCCGTTTTTTTCCTTCATTTATCCGCGCCGATATCTTCCCGAATAGATCCTTGAAAGCGCCACGAGATTTTTGAATAATTTATGGAAAGGGACATCTAGGGAGAGAGAGAGTGAAGGGGCGGAGAGCAGGGGAACTCTTCTTATTCCGCCCTCTTATGTGTCCCTGTTTAGTTTAAAATAACCTGAGAGTCCTCTTCTCCGGCTTTTTGTTAGATTTTGGAGTCTTTTCACCTGTCAAGAGCCAGAGTTTTTTGTGCCATTTCTTTCTCAACACTTAAACAGAATCAACAATTATGAGCTCACAGATAATGTGAATTTGGGTGAACTACTCATGCAGAAGTTTGAAATTTTAATGCGATCTGGGTGACCTGTCTACTACCAAAATATCCCCAAGAACTCGGATTTTTGAACTATCTTCTCCAAAAAAAGCCTAAAAGTTTGCACAATTTTTTAAGCTACATGAATTTTCTTTTAAAAAAAAGAATTTGCTCAAAAAAAAAGTTCAGAGAAGCCTTAAGATCTCCTCCTCTTCTTGGAATGAGTAAGAACCCAGAAACCATGCCCCAGGGGTATTTATATTTATTATTAGTTTTCTCTCTCTTCTTTCACTCTTCTTTCCCATTTTTCTCATCCCCCGCCCACTTTCCAGAGAGAGTCGTCGTCATCAGATATCACGAGAGATGATGCCAAATAGAAAAAAAACCCAACATGAAAATTGAAAAAATGCCCTTTCTCTGAGATTCTCTCTCACTCCAAAACGGATTTGTTGTCTCTGCTCATCCCATTGTTTGAATTTCCTTCTTTTTTTGCTTGTTTCTTGGCTGAAAAAAAACGACGACGATGTCGTCTTGTTCTTCTTCTGACACACAATCTTACGCATATATTCATGCAAACAACGAGCCAAAGAAAACACAAGCAAAACCATGTCAGAAATCGCAATTAAGCGAGGAGGAGTCCTTTTTTCTTTTTGTCCAAGTCTTCGGTCATTCAAGGTAAAAATAGGCCGAGATACAGCTTGGACCAGTTTGGACCGATTTTTTGACTTAAAATCCATTTTAGGCCCATTTGAAAGTCCTTAATGTGGACCAAAACCAGCTGAGATACGACCCAAGCCATTTTAGGCCGTTTTAAGGCACAGAATTATCGAAACTATGTCTTGTTTATGCTCATTTTGAAGCTTTAAAACCAGCGAATTCAAAAATCTCAATTTTAATAAATTTAATCAAATTTTGACCGAGTTATGGTCCATACCATTTTTGGCCAATCTTTCGTCAAAATTCGCTATAGTTTTTTGGTTTTGGAAGACCCGAATTCTGAAGTTCCAAAAACTCAGCGCGAGAAAAAAAAGTGAAAAAAATCTGAAGGAATCCCTTGGAAACGCTCTCACTCACGCTCCGCTTTTTTCGAACAAAGCGAATTTTTTGCCAAAAAATTCTTTTTTGGTCCGTTTTTCGAATGTGTAAAACTCCTTTTCGTGACTCTTCAATCCCTCCATTTTTTAGTCGAAAAACCACTCATTATAGCTGTGTTCAAGACATGAAATGAGCTTTTTTCTGAATCTCAAAATCTTCATTTCGAAGAGAAGTACATTCGATCTGTCATGCGAGAATCATCCGATTTTTCTCGCACAAATCCGTTTTCCGAGGGACCCTCTTCTTCTTCTGAAATTGGCGTCGTTGCCTTCAGAAGAGCAGGTTGAATGGAATGAAAAGAAGACGTCTCATCATCTTCTCCTCTCTTCTCCCCTTTATCGTTCTGTTTTTGACGGGGAAAACAAGAAAAATAGGCGAAAAATTGAAGCCATTTTGTGTACAATTTTGATGAAAATGAGCAATGATGATGAGCCAAAATTATTCTTCTCAAAAAACGACACATTTCTTACCAAAATTAGTAAAGATGGGAAAACGGAGGCGGAGACGGGTCCCCACCACTTCACTTTTGCTCTCTTTTTTCTTTGAAAAACGAGAATGCAAAAAGAAATTTGTGTGTGTGTGTGTACATCCCGTTTAGCCTTAATCCCTTCTGCTTGAATTTTTTAACACACATTCCGGAAGGGAAGCTTGAGAAATCGGAAATTGGAAGGGATTTTTGAAAAAGTTATTTTTTGAGAATCAAATGACGACGTCAGTAGAGTTCAGACTCCGTTTTTGTTTTCAGCCAATCATCACAATTGACCTTTCCCCTAGAGAATTCCTAATTTAGCTTTTCCTCTTCTCTATCCTCGTCATTTCTCCTCTCCCTACTCTCCTCAATTTTCGCATTTTTTTCTCCTATTTTCCATCTTCAATTCGCATCCCCATCCCATCCATAGATCTTCTGCTTCTATTCATGCGAATCACAATTAGTAAAAACTGAAGACGACGAAGGAATGATGCTGGAAGAGGAGGAAGACTCATCTCTTCTTCTTCTTTTCCAGAAGACATACGAGCCGCCCCGTGTACATAGGAGAAGCATATTTTTCAGAGGAGAGGACCTTCTTCTTCTCTTTCTTCTTCATCCTCGAAGGCTTCAGATGGCCCTATGAGGCGCTGCTGCTGCTGCTGCGCTAATGAATTGAAAATGAATCCAATTGGCGCCACGCCCACATTCCATGTGATAGAAGAGGAGAGAGTCGGTTTTGCGGCAAAATATTTTGCCGTTTTTTTAACGTTTCCTGGAGAAGAAGAATTCAGAAAACTCATTCATTTCGTCCATAGAGTCTTGAATTTGACAGTTCGATTTGAGTTCTGTATCTACCATTTTTGGACCTCTAAATAGTTTTTTTTCCTGGACCATGGTAGTCCGACCACCCCCATCTGTGTTTTTTTCCTTCCTTTTCGCCACACAAAACCATCGAAGCGTATGTGACTTTTTTGGGAATAGTCGATCCCCTTGAAATGCCATTTTCGAGTGTTTTTTGAGGTCCGTATTTCCTTGTTTTTCGGTTTTTAGAGCGTCTGGATAATGAGTGACAAGCTATAGCTAGCCAGTAATTTTATTATAGGGACCCCATATGTGTCATATTTACACTCGCAGTACTTCTCATATTGTGAGGATCGTCTTTCTCTGAAAATGACGATGACCTGCTAGGCGAGAGCTTGATGATTGGCTTCCGTGCAGATTTGTTCCTCTTCTAAGTAGCTTTTTTTTCTTCCTCCCACTGCTCTCGTGGGGTATCCATCAATAAAAAAGTAATAATTTTGCTTCCGGTTTCCTTTTTCCGGCCTTTTTTAGGGGACCTACGTCTCCGTCTTTTTGGGATATTCGATCCCCTAGAATACCCAATTGGATCGTCACTTGACCTATATAATACAAAACAGACCCGTCCAACTGAAAATGATGTCATTTCAAAGGGATACTAGGAAAGGTTCGTGTTGTTGGGGGTTCTTATTACTTTGGCATTCTGCTTTTTTTTTCTTCCCATCCCTTTTCTCCCATCCATCCAGACTCTCACAATTTCGCTATTTACGGGGTGGGTGCCCGTTGACATTTTCCTGGCTCTCCTTCCCTCAGGTCAGTAGCCAGCTGAGAGAAGGAGAAGCTGTCACAAAACATGTCACTGAAAATATACTCAATTACACATATTACCTTATTCTCTTCTCCTTTTTTTATGCTCACTCCCTCTTGAATGCAACTTTGATGAATGGCTCTTTCTCTCTCTCTCTCTCCCTCTCTCTCTCTCTCCTCAAATACTTGAGACTAGTTGAAATTAGAGATGAAGTTTGCCCCTGTCCCTCCCTCGTGATGTGGATATGCTGATTTTTCTGTGCCACTAGTAATTTCAGCTGTCAGAGTTTTGTGTTTTTCAGCTTCATATATATTTCTTCCATGGAATCGGATACTGAGATTGTGCTCTTTGAAAGAGCCTCTTTCTATAGACAACTAACTTGTTGGAAGCCTTCAGTTGCTCTACCGTAAGACCTGTATTAGAAGAGCCGGTCCTCCTATGGAGTCTCTAGGGGGCACTCAAATTAGAGGGGCTCTTCTAATACATGTTTTACAGTATGTTTCTCGACAGAAGTCTCTGTAAAACGCGTCGCGTAGAAAAGTTCCAGTCTCAGTTCTCAAAAATGCTCCTAACTTAGTCTCGAAATGGTTTCCTGGTCCCTAAATTACTCAGAATCACAAAAATCCGTTAATTGGGAAAGCTCCAACGTCTTTTTTCCCTAATTTGCACTGAACTTCCCTTTAAAACTGTTCCTGATTTTTTAAATGCGATAGATATTGTCGAATTGAAAAGAAGTGGGACCTGGAAAATTTCGCGGGCGGCTTCCCGGTCAATTTTCGAGGCCTTGTCCCAGAAACACTACGGTAATAAACGAAACTTATTTCTGTAAATTTAGTGGGGTTTTCTGGACAAAATTTAGATTTCTTGGTATGAAAATGATCGCTAGCATCTCTAGAATCTGTTTTTCATCGAAAAAACCGAACTCAATTGCGAAAGTAGCTCGAACGAGGCGAAACTCTGAAATATTACGTTTTTGCCGCACTTTTTCGTAGATCAAAAAAGCTACGCCTTTCAAATTCTCAGGTCCCACTTTTTTTAATTCTACAATAACGTATTTCCTGAAATCGAACTTCATCTTATACATTCAAGCTTAATTATCACGGTTCCTGTGAGAGATACAAAAATTTGTTAACTGATTAAAAATTTTTATCATATTATCAGGATTATTTTATCAGTTGACAGATTCTTATTATCTCTCCCAGAAATCGAAATAATTGAGCTCAAAATTCATAGTTTCGTTGAGCTTTTAAGAGAGGAAACACGGTATTTCATCACAAAAAATCTAAATCCTTCCCTCTAAATCCTTTTTTGGTCAATCTGACATTTCACTAATTGAATTCTTTCTTACTATTCCTGGATTACTCGCCTCCTATATCGTTTTTTTCTGTCCTCCACTAATCCTATATCCTTTTTAACTCCGCCCACTTTTCGTTTATTCGGTTTCCGTTCGAATTCTATTCGTACCAATCATCTCCTCATCCCAGAGAGAAACAGTGTCTCCTTCTAATTCTGAAACAAACTCAAAATTCCGTCACCGACGTTATCTGCGCTAGCGGTGGCGGCGACGACGACTGCGTCATTTGCTTACGCCTCTGGAGATTCTCCTTCAGCATCGTCGTCGTCGTCAGATGCCTACAACGCGAACTTCTCCGAACAACAACATGGTCAGCTAACTTACACGGCATGCGATGTCGTCACCCGACACCTCATCACAGTTCTTTTGTCTATTTCGGAATGGTGTCGAGGGCTGGCCGAGAAGCTTGGCTCAGAAGACAGCGAACGATGCGTTCGCTTCTCATCCCACTTTTATGATCTTAACATATCAGCAGCGTGAGTATCGGTGTCGTGGTGTAGCCATTTGTCTTCAGTTCTGTGTATTCTCATCTGTATTCTAGTACTAGATCTGATTCTATCGCCTTTGAACTGCTCAGCTATCTATCTCTATTCTTTCAGTTCATTTTTCATTCTTTCTAATACTAATGTTTTCAATTTTGAAGTGCATGAATCCCCAGAAGCCGGAAATGGAGAAGGAAGTATTTTTGGAAACGGGAAGAAGAAAGACTTTTAAAATTCAAAGGGTCCCCTTGCATGATCCCGGAAGGATTCCGGACCAGAATCCCCAATTTTGAAATAATTTGCACTGAAAATTTAAAAAATATTATTTCCAGAATGTCATCAGTCGCATCGAAACAAGCATTGCTTATCGCACTTGGCGGCATCTCCATCGCCGCACTTTTCGTATGGTACATCAAAAAAGATGGTGGAAAGAAGAAGAAGCCAACGCTCACAGATTCCAATGGATCAGCAAGTGTTCAAAATGGAAGTGTTGGGAATAAGAAGCAACAACAAAATGGACATGCAAATGGGTGAGTAGACACTTCTTGACGTCATCTCAAAATGATGATGATGACGTTTTTATAATCGTATGGACTTGATGTTTTGCCTTTTTTTTCAGCTCGATTAGCAGCTCAAAACCGAAGGTAGCAGAGGTTCCAAACCCAGCAGAAGAAGCTCCAGCTCAGGTTCGTAAGAAAATAAAAGTGTTCTCAATTAGTGGGGTTAGAGAAGTCAACAGAGAAAATTGAAGAGATCCTTTCATGTAAATTCTCAGGAGAGAGTGTTAGAATAACGAAGAAAAACAAGAAGGTCTAGAATTTCAATGATCACGAGGTTCTTTATAGAGGGGAAAAGAAGGATTTGTATAGGGAAACCTAATCTGACAACACAACACACATCTGAAAATCGGGGGCAAAATGGTTTGAAGATCAATCCAGATTAGGTTCTAAAAGTGCACAGAGGATAATCCTGAAATCAAGTGTTTCATGAGCGTAAAAAGAGGGGGGAGGGTGGCTGTTTAGGAAAAAGTGCACTTTTGAGAACTCCTTTTTTCCCACGCAAAATGATAAAAGAAAAATGAGAATCGCTTGTGTGCGCTGCTAGGAAAGCCTTTGCGCAAGAAGAAGGAGAAAAAATAGTATGGGAAAGTTGAAAAAAAAGAGAGAAAAGAACAACAGTGATACCTTTGCCACGGGGAGAGGAGGACCAAAAACGACCATGTTCGCCTCGTTTTTTGTCGATTTTTTGGACGCTTGGAGGTCGCTTTTTTTTGAATTTTGAATTTAGAATTAGGGGCTTTGGAGTCCAAAATATGGACTAAAGAAAATTTTAGTTGAAAAAAAAACGAATTTTGATTACAACAACCAGAAAATTACCGTATTTCCTCTGATAGGAGCCCACCAAAACCGTTAACTTTGAGCTCAAATATCTTGATTCCTATGATAGGTATCAAGAATCTGTCAACTGATCAAATACTTCTGATACTAAAACAAGCAATTTATCAGTTGACATCTTTTTCATATCTTTAACAGGAACCGAGAATAATGGGCTCAAAGTCGAAAGCTAGGGTGCCCTTCTAATACAGGTTTGCAGGTAGTTCAATTTCATACATTCTCGGCTCCTCTTTTTTTTATTCGCTGTTAAACCTTTCAAAATGATTTTCGTTAATGAGCACATTCATAACTAGCCATTATCACAACTCTCTCAGCTCGCACTTCGTGAGAATTTTTTTGAGCTTACATGAGAAACTACACAAATCACACTTTTTTGCTCATTTTTTCCAACCAAATTTCAGTCTAAAATAGTCATTTTTAACCCCAAAAATGCCAAACTTGACATGGCTAGCGATACATATACACACACGATCAGATGCGATCTCCTCATTTTCCTCCTCTCTTTTGTGTTCTTATGTTATTTCCACCACCACCTCTCTCGTGTGTATGTCGAAAATTTCAAATTTTTTTTCGACTACTACCTTTCGCCGGCATTTTCACACTCGCTTTTTTAGCAGATTTTGATCCGTTTCTGTATATAGTATATATCGCAAATTTTACGATTCGTAAAACCTGCAATAGAAGGGCCTGCTAACTGTTAACTTTAAGCCAATTTATCTCAATTTCTGTCAAAGATATGAAAAAGTTGTCAACTGATAAATTGTTTATCATAATATCAGAAGTGTTTTGCCAGTTGACAACTTTTTGATATCTTGTATAGGAGTTGAGATAATTGAGCTCAAAATTCGGGGGCCCGTCTATTACAGGTTTTATAGTATATTGTTTATTTAAACGAGAGAAGTTGCTCCAATGTTTCAAAGAGAAAACAAATGACCTCCTCTTTGTGTCTCCTGACTCCCTGGCGAGTGCCCCCACGTGTTTTCTTCCGAGTCATCACATACAGTTCTTCTTCCCCATGGATCAAAAAAAACAATCGGAAAAAGAAAATATTGATCTGAAAACTAAAATTTGCAATTTTAGAACGAAAAACCGATCGAAGTAGTCGTCGAGAAGAAGCAAAACGAGCCAGAGAACAAATCGGAATCAGTGGAAACTGATCACGCGGCCGCCGGAGATTACTCTGAAGCTGTTCAACAAGCTGAAGACGTGGAGGTTCAGGAAGAGGAGCAGAAGGTTTGTGATGTGCTTTTGTGTCAAAAAAAATTTGAAGTTTTTATGTTGCCCAGGGAGAATTTTCCACTTTTTGCTGCTTCTTTTTTTCGGCACAGGAAAAAATAACAGAAAAAAAAACGAAAAATTTATATGGCCGATATTTTTATGGCTTTCCCTTCTTTCTTCTCTTTTCAAAAAATGAAACTATCCCATTTTTTCTAGGAAAGCGAACCAGAACAGAAGCCAGAAGAAAAGGTAGAACCTGTCAAGGAGGAGGTGGAAGAGGAGCAGTTCGTCAAGAAGGAAGAGCCAAAACTGAAGGTAATTGCGCTGAATTTCATAATATTACACCTGCCAAAAACTGGTTCCCGTTCCATTCCTGGACTCTCAGAAATAATTCAAAAAAAATCTAATTTTCAGTCCGCTCCACCAGCTGCTCCACTCATAATGCCATTGCCGAAAACTAAGGTACTCGAGAATGAGCAGGTAAAATTTTGATGTGGTTGTGTGTCTTGTATCGTAGCTCTCTTATCATTGATTAACTCATAAGCATGCGCCCGTTTTTTCAGATACCCGAAGAGCCAACACCAACGAAATGCTTTGGAAACCTGACAGTGGATACCGTATCGCCAGCGTCCGCGTTTTCGTGGAGCGAGGAGATGGAGAAGAGCTACAACGAGGAAGAGTTCAGAGCACAGGAATCCAGCGATATCGATAGATCTCCAGCGTCACCACTCAGACACACCTCACATCATCAGAACCATCATCACAAGAAGAATGGAGGATCGATGCAGAAGAATATGAGCAATAATAAGAAAGGAGCCAGAGGCACGCCAAACCATAATCAGCATTATCAGCCACCACAACCAGAGAAGCGAGGAGATGTCAAGAAGGGACAACGACGATTGACGAAGGAGAAGAGTGCAGAGGAGAAGGTGGAGAAGCCACAGAAGAGAGTTGGTGAGTACCGTGAACTTCAGCAGTGGAAAGTACCGTAAACACTCTAATAGAAGGCCACCCAACTCGCCAACTTTGAACCCATATATCTCAGTTCCTGTGATAGATATTAAAATTTTGTCAACTGATAAAATATTGCTGATATTTTAATACACATTTTGTCAGTTAAACACTTTTCAATATCTTCTACAGTAACCAATATATATGGGCTCAAAATTGGCTGTTTGGGTGGCCTTCCATTAGAGCGTTTACCGTATCTGTTTACGATATCCTAGTTAGTAGTTTTAATCCGTTTTGATCCAAAATAAACCTAAAAGCCTAAATAAGATATTCCAGTGATCAAAGAGACCCCAGTCGTCCAAACCATGCCAGCCGAGACCACCGAACTTCCACAATCGCCAATCCATTCGGACGAGTCGTACGAGAAGAGCGGATCACCAGGATTGGATAGCCAGAATAGCGAGGTGCGTGCTTATCTTTTTGTAAGTTTTTCTAACAAACTTAGTATCTCATGGACCATACATAAACTAACAAGATCCCCGTTTTCGTTTCTTCTGACTTGTTATCGATGGGTCATAAAACGGTTTTCTCGACGAAAAGAAAATGACCTTGTCAAGAAGATAGATACCACCGTGTCGTGAAAACCAGGAAGAGAAGAACGAAGTGAAAAAAAAAATGACAAGACTACGATTGATCAGAAGAAAGGGCAACGACGACAATTTGTCACATTGATAATCAATCAAACAGAAGAAAGGCAGGGTGATAACGATTTTTGAACATAAAATTTAGGTTTTCAAAAATGCCCCTCTTCATTATCGCTTTCCGCAGTTTGTCCTTCATCTCATCCCCTAATTTATCTTTGAGCTGTCCCCCTCCCCACCGATTTGTTGCAATTTTCGGTGTCGTCTGCAAGCCCAACACTCAATGATGATTCGAAATGGAGAGTGATGAATCGACGGCGGCGTCGGCATCGTTTTACTTTTGTAGTCGGGTTCTTCTTCGATGTCCTTTTGACACTTTTGCTTCGTCATATATTGCTACAGAGACAAAGAACTATGGCACGACCGAGAATTGTAAAAATTGGAGCTAGCCATGACCCCTTTGCGATCCAAGTAGAAACATCTGATTCGAAGAGAGATAAAATCTCATTCAGAGAATCTTTATGACTCTTTTTGAAGAAGAAGAAGTCTAGACTCATCTTTCAAAAGATCTCCTCTCTACCTTCTCTTCTTTTGTTGCCATTTCTCTCCGGTGTGGTATGCAAATGAAATTTTCCCCTTTTTATGGGGAGAGATGAGGCCACCCATAGAGTTGAAGACGATCGAGAAGGAGATGAATTGGTTGGAAAGAAGGGAAACAATACGAGAGTATTTATCATCATGGCAACATGTTTTTGGGAATCGAAGAAGAAGTAGAAGAAGAAATACCGTTGGCGTATTCGAATTCTAATGGCTCTTTGTTTCCGTGTGTTGTGTTTCCCGGGACAGAACAGACAACACAACGACAACAGCGAAAAATACGAACCTTTTCGAAACAAATTCGTGTGTTGGTGTCTTTTGAGAAGTAAGAGTTATGTCTGTCTGTGAAGAGGGACTCGGCTTGATGAAGCTAATTTATCTGAATTTCCTAGACAGAGTCATATGGCAGCGACACCCCAGACAATTGAAGATCACGCCATTTCTCTAGGTCTCCCACTCTCCGCTCAGCTGTTTTTGTGGAAGCGACTCACGTGTGTAGTGAAAACAGACCAGAAAGTGTTTCCGTGATCTTTGCCATTTATCGACGACCGACACATGTGCCAGAAGACTGTCAGAAGGAGAAGTAGGAGGCTGTCAGGAGTGGAAGGAAGTTCTAGAAGGTCGACCTAGATTCTACTACTTAAAAGGGCTCGGATGGTTTGTTAGGAAGTTCTAAACCAGCATCAGGACCTTATGAGAATCCTTCTGAGTTACCGTAATCCCGTTTTTCTTACTGTATCGGAATCTATCTTTTCTCTGAAAGCGCCTGTTGAGCCTCGAAGTTCTGGAATTTTCTAAGTCAGCATGAGCGTTCTGAGAAGGTCCTGCTTATTCTGAATTACCGCAATCCCGTTTTTCTTACTATATCGGAATTAATGTAAACAGAACTTCTGGGCGCTCGATTCTCAATAAGCATGCTCTACAGTAAGTCTTTCTTTTCCCTGTCCATGCTCCTACATTGACCTTGTTCGTCTCCTTTTACACTTGTACTTCAGGTACATACTCTTATCAAAAATGACCCCCTTCTTTTATGTGCTTATATAATCTGAACGGTAAACAAATAGGTAGTCTCCTACTCCAGAAAAAAGAACCGACAATCTAGATGATTTCCGCAACAATATTTTTCTCACAGCGGGACGGTTGGAGAGAGACTACTGTGTTTGCTTTCGATGAAAAAGTGTCTACTACTGCCATTCGCTACTGTTTATCTTGATTCTACTCTTGACTCCTAATAGTTTTTGAGCCAGAAGGAATGACCTTTCAAGGAAGTTTTGAATCGGATCATATGATTTTTTTGCCTCTTTTTTGTTATTATTTTGTTCCTTGTGACAGTATAGATAACACCAGAAACACCTGGTGGAAATCTGTCCTTCTCAACCCATCGAGAAAGGAAATTGAAAGTTGCCCTTTTCATGTCCATTACCACCTTTTTCTCTCTTTTGAAATGATCCCTCCGATTTGAATGGACAATGAAGGTGCGATGCATTTTTATTGCACAAAAAGTGCAAATGCACATTGGCCACTCCCCTCTTTAAAAGTGAAAGAGGCTCTTTTGTAGCTGGGAACTCGACAGGATGGCGCTGGAAAGTTCCCAAAGTTTGTGATGGCCATCTGCCCACTCTCCGCCGCTTCTACAACACGCGACTTCTACCTTTCACTTTCCACCAGACACTCGAAATGTTTACATTATGCTATTGCTGCTGCCTGTCTGTGACCTTTCTAGAATTATAGCAAAATTTTGATTTTTTGAACTGAGTCCCTGTTTTTTTGTCTAAGCCAATTATTTATTCAGCCATTACAATGCAAGGGTAACAATTAGGTACTGATAAATACTATCTTTTGTCTTTCTTCGTTTGCTCCCTTCTCCCCCAACTGTCTTCGTTGTCTTCAACTGATAACACACATTGAATGTTGCCATTTTTGAGAGAAATAGCACGCTAAACGAAGAGAGCGGCCATAGACATCGTTAGACATCTGATTTTCGATATGGAGCAGTCGTGTTATCAGGTTAGCAGGTGAAAGGAGACAATAGATAAGGAAGCGCGCCCCCACCGAAAATGTTGCGATCTCAGGGAGACAAAAGTGCAGGAATTTTAGGTAGAAAGTGAGCAAAACTCATAGAAACATGTGTTGGGTGCAATTTTATAAGAAAATTCGCTGAAAACCTTCGAAAAGCTCTGAAATTTGTTAATTTTCTTCTTCAAAAAGACAAAAAGGAATTTTCAAGAGGGTTACGGTCAGCAATTCTGCAAACACCGAGTATGCGGACTTGTCGCCGACAGTAGTCCTCGCCGTGAATCTACTCGAGATTTGAATTTCGAAAATTTTTTTCTCCCATTTTTGCAAATTTTTCCGGATTGCGTCGTTCTTTTCGACATTTTTTCATAAGAATTTCTTAGTTGCGCAACAAATTTATGTCTCGGGTCAAAGTTTTCACCAGTTTTTCGTAGATTTTCGAAAATGTCCCCCTCCTCCAACTTCCGAGTTTTTTTCTCTCTCGCCTATTTGCCCTTTATCTTCGTTGCAAAAAAATCGAGAGAGAGAGAAGAGAAGAAACCGTTTTTCATCTAGCCCTTTTGATTTTTTTCGTCGTCGTCAGTCTGCGAACCTGGGGGGCAAACGTAGGCATGCGCACTTTTTTCGGCGTTTACCAAAAAACTTTTTTAGTCAGCTGTCTTTGACCGCACACACGAAACAGCCGTTTTCCTTCACATTTCATTCATGATGTTGCACTCGATTTCTTCTCCTGCCTCATCTGATTCCATTGCCCCCTTGCACCCTTCGTCTTCTTCTTATATCGACAGACAAGATCAAGCTCCGCCTCCTTAAGGCCATGGAGAAGTGTGTGTATGACTGTCTGCGCCTCGTGTAATAATTTTTGTAAGGGTGAACTTATTGGTGGAGACATCACTTTCATCGGTACCTTGCTACCCACCCTATCGCCTCTCAACCATTATACCCTAACCACTTCATAATTCCGTTACCTCTTTTCTTCATTCTCTTGTGCTATCTCCGGTGACTCAAACTCGTTGCTCTACCTCTATTCTATTCATCTGGATTCAGGGAAAGCCCTTCATAACCCGTGGCGTAAGAAAATCGACGAACATCTCTGTGAGATTTCGTTGCATCGTCACACTTCTACAACAAGTTACTCGAGACACTCGCTCATCTTCTCACCTCTCAAAATCATCGAATGCTGACGTCGGCTCCCGTATTCGTGCATCCAACTCAGCTACCTACTCACATTCCTCCACCACCAGTACTCTTATCACCTGGTGGAACTCTTCTCTTCCCACCTGGATTCATTCCACCACCATTCCCAGCTGTTCTTGACGAAGAAGAACTTCACGAGCTCACCGCAAGCGCAAGCTGCAGTTCACCAGATTTCGGACTCAGTGAATCGTTTTACTATCCTAGTTCATCTAGTGAAGTATCGGAAGCCTCTCCGTTTGAAACTGCTGACTTTGGAACTGTCACGTTAAACATCTACTCATTAACCGGAGACGAAGAAGAAGAATTCAGAATGTACGCAAAGGCACAAGAAGAAGTGAAACTAAAAAGACAACGACGGAACTCAACAACATCCTCATCAGGATATGGGTATAGTCTTCCAAGGACGCCTACAACTGAAATATTATTCGACACGGTTTGTAGTTTTTATGGTCCATGAGATGTAGTTTTAAGAAAATGCATGCCTTCTCTAAAATTCTATCTTACTAACCCAATAATTTTCAGGCTTCTTCTCAAGACTCTGGACGTGCCACTGGACCACTCGCCTCTCCACATGATGGAGACATCAATGGAACTGAAGAAGATTACTTGCCAATGTACGAGTTTGAAATTCCAAACAGTCTCGTTGGATTGATCATCGGAGTGAAAGGAAAGACCATCAAGGTAATTAACACTTATCCCCCGTTGCGCAATAATTTATTCATTTTTTCTATAGGAGCTCAGCCAACGCACGAATGTTCGTATGCTAATTCGTCAGCATCATGCACCAGAGAAGTCCAAATCCCATCAGATATGCCAGGTATAAGGGATCAAAAGAACAGTGATCTTATCTATTATGTTCATATTCAGGTCCGTGGAAAGAGAGACGAGATCAATCACTGTCTTCAAATGCTCCGCCGCCGTTTCCCACCAGCACGCTTCCCGGAATTGAACCTTCAGCCTGTTGTCCCACCAATCCTTCCAAACGGTAACTTCGACATGCTCTCCACTACACCAACTTGGCTCACACTTCCGGACGACATCAAATGCGAAGTCGCGGTGTCTTCAATCATCAATGTGTCGCACTTCTTCATTCAACAGCCGACCCATCCATCGTTCGCTTCATTGCGCCATTTGGACATGTACATGGCATCCCTTTATGGTGAACAATCCAACCTCCCAGAGTTGCCGATCCCATGCCAAAGTATGTGTTTTTTCAAAAGATTTGATTCGATGATCTCTGACTAGGGATAGATCATCAAACTAGGTCCACATGCGATAACCATCTGATGATACTAGTAGAGGTTTTTACGAATAGCAAAAGTGTATCTTTTACGGGCCCGATCAGCAGCGCCATCGACAGTTTTCATATCGCGCGATTTGTATTGCGAGACACGGTAATTAATCAAGAGACGAGGAAAAGGTTGTCAGACAATCGTTGGTTGTGTCGCGGCTATCAAGCATTTCGATCAGTTGGACCCAACAGCCGTCTTGACGCGTCGATTTTCCGATCTGGATGAAAATTGTGATAGAAAATAGAAACAAAAGGGAGTGGGATGAGAGATAGGGGAGAAGATTGATGATCATTGGGTGTGAGTAGTAGTGAGAAGATAGACAGGGAAAGTCAGTTGTCTTTGTTGCACTTTATGAGAGAGATACTGGTAGACAGTAAGACACACTACTGAAATGCACTTTTTTGATTAGCTCACTTTCGTCTCTCGTTGTGTACTTTTTTCAAAACTGGTTTTCGACGAAAGATCAACAGAACAAGTATGACTATTTTCAGAAGGACTCTTGTGCGCTGCCTCAATTGGAAACTCGTGGTTCCGTGCTGTCACCGTTCACTACTACGATGAGACTGACGAGGTGTACGTGAAGTTCGTCGACTATGGAGGTTACTCCAGAATGGCTCGACAAGATCTCCGACAAATCCGTACCGACCTGATGTCTCTTCCATTCCAAGCCACTGAAGTCGTGTTGGCTCATGTTCGTCCAGTTGATGGAACCACTAACTGGAGTGAGGGAGCTATGCAATTGTTCAAGGAGGCTTGCACTGGAAAGGCCATCAACTGCAAAGTGGTTGGACATTCCGTGGAAACTGACATGGCCATGGTGGAGTTGTACGTTCCAGTGAAAATGGGAAATGAAACGAAAGTATGTTTTTGATCAAGCTAGTCCAAATCCTAACACATGCTATTTTCAGGAAGTGAGATTCGATAACCTCCTCATGGAACGTGGATTCGCCAGAACGGCTGATCCATCCAAGATGGTTCGTGTCAGCTACCAACCAAATCTTCTCGCTGGAGATGTGCAAATGAAGCGACCATCATTCTCATCACAGACATCACAAACTGCCGTTGTTTGCTGATAACTTTCGCTCTCTTTATTTGTTTTGTCCTCCTCCATGCTTTTTTGCCAAAATTGGTTCAATGTGTGTTTTCATCGGTGTGTACTGTGTCTGTGCAAAGCAGAAGCGATAAATGCCAAATGAACTGATCTCTCTTTCTATCCATGGCATTTGGTTCTTCTCATGAAACATATACTCTTTGCATTGATCTCAACACACATTCCCCCTATTTCCACAACAACCACGGAGTATTTTTCCTCATGCTATTCTCTTTTTTTCATCTTTCCGGCTGTCCTCTCCTTCCCACACTTTCTCTTCTGACCAGTAACACGCGTTTCTAATGCTAACCCCTTTTTCTGTTTCGGTAGTTTCTCCCTACTCTGTTTTGTTCGTTTATTTTATATGGCTCCTTTTTGAGTTCACATCTGAGGTGTGGATTACGGTAGTTTTGTCTGTTTTTAAAACCATTTTTCTCATCCTCTTTCCTATCACTCCCCTTTTTGGTAATGTTATTTTCTTGTTTCCGTTGGTGCCAAACAAACTTTTCTTTTGCTGGGCGCCAATTTCTTTCGGTAATATCAAATCCCCTTTAGTTGGCTGTTTCTTTGCCTATTCACACCGTTCTAGTTTATCATCCTGATTCCTTGTAGGGTAGTCACACAAAATGTGCCGTCGCTTTGCTACTATTCTTGTTTTCTTCTGTTTTTCTTCTTTCGCTGCTTCTTCTCATTCACAGAATGATTCCTTGTATACACTGCACAGAATGGCTCTGTTTTGTACCTACTGTTGTTTTCCCCCAATTTTTAAGCCCCGAATCGCACTAGGCGATATTCCCTGTCCCTCAACTCGTTATTTGTTAGCCTCTTCGTTTTCCCTTTCTCCCTCTCTCATCTCTATCTCCTATCCCAGAAACAGATCGTCTAGTAGCCTTTTTTTTCTCCTATCTAGGAATTCTTTGGTTTCGAGCAATCCCTGTCAAACCATTCTTCACCAGGTTCTTCTACATCTTTTCATATCCCCATCTCCCATCCTTTACTCTCTATCACACACTCGTTTCTCCTCCCTGCTCCCCTGAATCCGCTTCTCCCATGTTTTGCTTAATTGTGTAATTCCTAAAATTACATCGACTCTTCCATTTTTTATTATTATGCGGAAAAAACAAATAAAAAGTAGAAATTTCTATGGCTTGATACTCTTCCTCATGTATTGATGATCCGTGGTGTTGACGTCGATAGTGGAGGAAGATGCAATTGGAGACGTCGATCGGGTCACCATTTTGGAAGCTGGAGGCGGAGGCGGTGGTGGGGGAGCAGATTCAGAGGATGAGGAAGAATTAGAAGCCGTGATGCTTGATACCGTGGAAGATGAACGAGATGGATTCGCCGCGGCGGCGTTCTAAAATATTTTATGTTTTTGAATGAATAAAAATTTTAAAACTATAAGTCCCAACCTGAAAATGGTCCATGGCTGCAAAAACACACGTGGCAGTTGTCGAATGAACAATTGGATCACACTTCTGATATCCGATGGATTCGTAGAATCCACACTGGTCTTCTGTGGAAAGGAATGCTTCGTCGAATCCGTTTCTCGTCATGAATCTTTCGACTTCAGACAAAGAAGTTTGCCGAGTCCCTGACCTCGTCGACTTTTTTTTATCATTACTGATTCGATCCATAAAGCGGTTGAGCTGGAAATTTTTCCGATGTTTTTTGAATTTGGCGCCAAAATGCGGGTGTCTCAGTCAAAGCAAAGTAAGGCATTTCAGCTTAACAACCTATAATTTTAAACAAAAATGTTCAGTAGAAATCAGCAAAGTTAACAGAAATTTCCGAATTTTTCGCTGAAATTTCTTCTAATTTTTTTTTGGGCGCTAAGGTAGTTGGGGGGGGCCACTTTTTTTTTCGTTTTTTGAGGCTAATTTAGTGTCTCTGGGGTAGAAAAGAGCGGCGAAGAAGCCTAAGCCTATTTTTTAGACAAATTCCCATCTAAAATCACAAAAAAAAATCTGAAAAAAAAAATCTTCTAAAATTTTTTTTTTGAATTTGGCGCCAAAATGCGGGTGTCCCAAAGGAAGGGAAACAAGGGGTTTTTGCCTAAGCCTATTATTTAAAACAAAAAACACAAAGTTTTGAAAACCATTTCAGCCAAAAAAGCGTTGAAATCGGC